TGGTTTTGTATAACTAAAATGCCATATCAAAAAAACACTGCCTTTTTCCAAAGTGAGTTATTTAATAAATAGTTTTTATGTTAAAAATTCCAATTATGAGCCAGACATATATTTGACATTTGATCATATAATTCTAAGAGAATTAGAGAAAAATACAGATCTGAACATTTTTCTTCTGAAATATCTGCTTTATGACAAATCAAATGAAATGTTCCACAAAGATAAATATGTCATGGACAGATGACAGAAAATAAACAGTATTTCAATATTATTCTGTGTTTTATTCCAAAGCCACTTCCCCCCTCTGTAATAATTACCTATGCACAAACTCTAGATGGCAATATTGCACTTACTGTACTTTCAGAAAATTGTCCCAGTCGATTCCCACATATCCTCTTTATCAACATTTTATGTGCCGTGGATCTATAGCCTCTTATTATAAGTGTAATGAAGCAGAAGTTATTGAAGCATTTTATTGATTGCTCAGATCACAAGTTTACTGCCATACTGAATTGGCACCTTACTCGCTGAAGCAAACTGCTGACACCTTTTTTAAAAAGTGACAACTACATCTATTTCATGACCAGAAATCCATTTTCATCTCTATCAAGACAAGAATGCAATTTTCACTTCATTTAACTGATGTTAGGCCTGCTCAAAGCATGACACTTAGAAGAAGACACAAGTTTAAGGATCTTAAAGTACTTCAAGTAACTAGAATGCAGCTTGGTTTCAGGGAGAAAAATATATAATATTCTGAAAAATTCACCAAATTCACTAAAAGCCAATATTTTAAAAAATTACCTACCTGAACCTTCAGGAGTAGTTTTTGCTTTGGAAAGACTGCCATGCTATTTTCATGCTCATGGTAGTAACTTATGTTTATGAATTAGAAATTGTATGCAGAGGTTTCAAAGGACATGAAGAAGTTTGTTCAAAATGGAAGTATTTTGAGCACAGCCCCAGAAAGGCTAATTCAAGGAAACACTCAATTTCATTTGCACTCTCCAGTACACACAGCAAAGCAGACGATATAGAAATAGTTACACCTTTAGTAGTTCTATGACTAACAATTCTGATTGACCTAAAACATAGTATCTAAAAAGACAGATTTTTCAACACTTCTTTTGTGAAAATAAAATATTAAACTTTTTTGCAATAAATATATTCTCTCAGTAATAAGTATAATTCAAGTATGTATTGAACTAAATCATTTCTGAAAAAAATTATATTGTTATATTTGATATCTAATTATCAAACTTATTGAAAGAGTATGTAAAGTAAGTCACTGCTAGTTTCTACAATCTTTTAAACACAAAAAAGGGATTAGGAAGATCTTAATTTGTACATTAATAAAATATGCTTTAATTTTGAGCTGCAAAACCTGCATATACTGAAATTACAGTTACTTCCTATTTAAACAGCTGCAGTTTAAACAGTGAAACCTAAATTTTTAAAGAGAAATTCAGTATCTAGATTTCTCAAACCAATGCATCAAATATGAAACTTTTAGAAAAAGCATATAACTGTACTTTTATCAGTTTAAAACCAAAAATCTAAACACATGCAAAACTTTAAATCACCCAAATAAAAAATTATGTAGTTCTCCACAAAGTTTATTAAGTAATGGTTTATTATAAATAGCTCAAGTACAAATTTTCAAAACAAAAGTTTCCTTGCAGTTTCAGATGTAAATAGAAATTGCTAATGTTTTTCACTATATATTCGAAGATTAGAAAATGCCTCAGAATCTTAGGAAATACTTGAGGATTTACTGATTTATTTTGATTTAAGCTAAAACCTAACTTAAATTTGATCATTTCTTTTCCAAAGTGCTAAAAAATTAGTAGGATAAAATGTAATCTCTTGGTTACATGATACATTTTTTTTTCACATCCTAGCAGCACAAGAGATAAAACTCCCTTCATAATTAAGATGGAGCTCATAAAGTCGTATTCTTTGTTTCTCTCTGAAATCCAAGTGACTCTACTCTCTATAACAACTGAGCCAGATTGCTAATAGTTTTAAATGATTAAAACTGGAAGTTTATGAGCTCATTTAAAAATGGTATTTCTTAAAGAGGGCAAAGTGCCATACATTAGTCTCTAGGAGTTTTGTTAGTTGTGGAAAAACATTAAAGAGTTGATTTAAAATCATTAAATTAGAAAGTCATTTCCAGAAAGTTCCCCAAATCCAAATCATGCTTGTACTTCAAACTGTGGCGATTTGCAGTATTCGCAGTCGTTATTTATATAACTGCCTGGCACAGTTCCATGGACTTTCATTCATTTTTACAGTATTTCTGAACACTGACTTATTTTGTTTACTGACAGCAACTAAAAGCTCCATATAGGATCATAAATAAAGAAGATGATGTTTAAAAATCACTAATATCATTTTAAAAGGTAGTGCAGGCTTGTGTTTTGGCCTCTGTTTGGCTGTGTTAGGCCTATGAATGACAGCTTCCCTGCTTGAAGCACAGAGAAAGCACAGCCTTCCTCATTCACTGACAGGACTGTGGCCTTTTCACACGTTCCTTCCACAGCAGTGTTTGTCCCCAAACACTGGAACTCGACACAATGGCATTCCTACTTCAACACCCCCACCAACAGCACCAGCAGCACACAACAAGAATGCTAATGAGCTGGGGCTGGCCCTGCAGAAAGTGTTAACAACATTGCATAGGAAAGCCCTTGTACTGTTCCAAAGATTACTAATTAAACAGATTCTGCTTAGCTCTCAGCAATTTCTTAGATGTTTCCACTGTGAAGGAAATAAATGTGATAAATGTAAGACTAAGTGACTTTATGTGATCCTAAATATATCTCATTTTAATATACACGAATCAGTATATATTTAAGACCACCCTAATGTAATGTGCTTAATTCAGCTGCATGCTGTAATAGAGACTCTAAAGAGTCAAATGAAAAGATGAGGCAGTTCATCAACAGAAAATCAGTAGCCCTGAATTTTCTTTTAAAGTTATGTTATAACAATTTATTTAAAGAAATTCCTTTGAGAATGTCAAATTTTTAAATGCATTAACTTTAGACAAACAACAAAACCATATAGTTTTCTATGAGATGTTACAAGTACAATAAATGGAAACGATGGCAAGAGTTAATATATGCCTATAATTTATAAACTTTAGATCTGCTCACAGATCAGGAACCATCATTCATTAGTATTTCACCTATGTAATGAGTCCTTAACACAGTCAGACATAGAATTCAAAAGAAAAAGCTATCACCCCAAAGGTCAATTTAAGTGAATGCAGTTCAAATAAGGTCTGTTAATGCTAACAGGGATATTTGCTAAGAACTCATAAATAATGATATTGTTGGGGTTAACATTTACCAGCAATGATGAAATTTTGTTCATATTTACATCTAATATTTAATACAACATATTTTCAGCAATTTGAGCAATACACTATTTAAATGTAAAGCAGTGACTCTCAAGGCATTTTTTTTCACAGTATACTGAATGTTAAATTTTTATGCCAATTTAATTTTTAAGTGTTTAGAAGAGCAGAAATGAAGCCTGTCATTACCTTCAAGATGTTTCCTATCTCTACTACTTTCACATGTAACGAAAGGTGGAAAATGCTACTCTCCAGCATTTAATTTAAAACGTGATTTTCTTGCATTGGAAAATGGCCTTTTGTTCTCTTTAACATTAACTTTAAATTCTCTAGTAAATGCAGTGAAACTATACAATATCAAATAATAGTTATTCAGCCATCGTAATCCATTTTATAATATCATCAAATATAAATAACATAATGTCTCGATATAAAATAGGTTAAGTACCATAAAATAATTAGGCCAGTTTTTAATCTTTGATAGCTTAATAAAACATTAAAATGAGTTTGGATCTCTATTCAACTTGTCTATGACAACTACTCATCCTCTTTCTGGATTAACTGATATGAATTAGAGGGCAAACTAGACACATTTTTCCTTATAAAAGTTTCTCCAAATATTTTTCATGGTTCTGGATACTGTCTTTCAACACTTTCTTCCAGTGAATACAAGTTGCTCTTTTCCTAGCAGACAGCAGGAGGTGCTATGCGAACACTGCGGCTGACATTTCAGGCCCACCTCTCTCCCATTCCTCTCTGAATTCAAAGAATAGCTTGGTGTCTTCAAAATATTCATTTTTCAGCAGCCTGTGGCCTGAGATAATGAGCTGAGTTGCAAAACAGAACATCAAAGTTCAAAATGCAAAACCTAGTTTTTAACATAGTAAAAACGTTTGCTTCACTTAAGTCCGAGAACAAAAAATTTTTAAATGTTGCAACTCATTTTTACTTCCAAATTACATTAATTATTCTGCTTTACAATGTAAGTCCTTCTTTAAGATAAATAAAATGTGCCAAAGTAGTTACAAAAATATCTAAGACAACATGCATATGCATACACATAAATACATGCAAACACAAGTACAGGAAGAATATATAGAAAGTAAAAACAAGATCTAGCCTAATCTAGTCCAAACACATTATCAAGTATGTGTTTGTTCCTGAAATATACAAGTTAAATAAGCATGAGTGAAGTGAGTTACTTTTGACATGGAGTTCCTACACAATTTCATTTCTCTAGAATGTGATTTGTTTTCTTTTAGATCAATTTCTACAATAGCAACTTGAGTTTAGAGTGAAAAACAAATAGGGATCTAAGACTCCAAATGATTGAGGAGCCATTCATTTGCTGCCTTAATGTAGGTGACTATACAACTTCCACATGAGGAGCTGCTTTGCTTTGCCCAGTATGCAGCAAGGAAAGATGAGACCTATCACATCCCATACCAAACAACAGATACAATTAGCCCCATTATCGCTGGCTTTGAGATTATAGAAGCATTTTGGCTTCCTCACAAGCACCCACAAAATACACATGACAGTTCTTTTTACCACATAATGCCAATCATTGCATATATAGAACCAAGTTAATTTTTAAAACATGTAAAAGGGCAGTTTTTAAAGAGGGATGACTCACCTGTTTATAATAATTTTTTGTAGAGTTTAATCGTTGGTACAAGGCCACAAGAACTCCTTGGATGAACGTCTTAGCGCCTGAGGGGCTGAAACCTTCTCCTTTAGAGACCCAAAGTGGTCCACGCAAAGGTGTGATGGAATTTTGTAGGCATTTTTCAAGCAGAGGAACTAGTGGAGAAAAGAAAGGAAAAAAAATTCCTTTGACCCAACTGAAATACAGCCTGGAATGCAGCCCCAAGAGCAGAGCTAACTCTTAACATCTATTATTTATATCTGACCTGGGTTAAGTCTTAGCAAGGCAATTCCTGTGTTACTAGTGGCCACCATGAAGGATGTATTTATATTGAGACACCCCCCATGCAAGTCTCATAAGCTTTGTGAGCACACCTGAATAGTTCTGAAGTGCGTCTAACTAGCTGCACAGAGTGTCGTGGTGTGCACTGATTGCCTTATCTTCTCATTTATCACAGATGAGTTGGAACCAACCTTGCTGAAATCTACTTGCATTGTCCTGATAAAATTGTAAGATCCATGTTGTTTCTGTATATAGCTTCCTGTAGAGGAGACTATGTACCTAAAATATCACATCTGGAAATTATTCATAAAATATCCACAGCTTTACAAGCCTTTCTATCCAGGTTTTCACTCCCATTCCTTAAAGCAACCCAGGAAACGGGGTGGTAAGACTGTTTAAAAGTAAGAGGGGAGAGTGTTAAGCATGTCATCAGACATTTGTGTTTGCAAGTTCCTAGTCATGGATTTAGGAATGCTGTTCCAGCGTGAGCTCTGTAAACATATAAAGGATGTTTACTGGTGGGCCTGTAATGCAAGATCCACATGGATTTGACAGACATGTTTATATACTTTTTCATATGATTAGCTTATGAAGTCTTTCTAGTGTAAAATACTGAAATAACATAGCAGCTAGCTAATACTTTTCTAAATTTAATTTTCCTCTGAAAAGCCAGAAATAATGAAATAAGATCTTGGGACCCAGAAAAATAAAAGTATATTACTTTTATTTAACATGGTCTTTATCAAACTGTATATACATATCCCAAAGATAAACATACAAACAGGATCTAGCTATAGATGCTGGCTACATCACTCTGAATTAAATAGATCACCAGAAAAGAAAACAGGTCTTCCCATGGCTTATGTTATATGTTACATGTTTTATGCAGAGGCCTAGCACTGCAACCTGAAAATTGAATTACAATTAGGTTCAGTCGAGCTACTGAGAGGCTGAGTTATGCAAATGGCCTTTGCTACTGGTAGTCTGTTACATTTTACTTTTAGTGAAGAAGTCATGCATTTTAGGGCAGTAGGCTCCCCCACTCTCTACAAAGAACAACTTAAAGTCAAATATGTTCAACACTTAAAAGAATGTTGGAGGTAAAGTTTTGAAGATTTTCTATTACTATGAATAAAATCAGAAGGAAAGTATAACCTGATGACTAGTCATCTTTGCAGACGTATGTATAAAATGCACTCATCCACTGTTGGAAATTAATTCCTGAAATTTGCTCTCTCAGTCCTATTCTTAAAATCTTACAGTGACTACTTTTCTCTGTTATATCATAGCAAGTGGCTTAAACTTTTTAAAAATTTTACATCACATGTACTAAAAAAGAAATAAAGACCGAAAGAGAAAGTTTCTAGTGTCCAGTATTTTTAAAAAATGAGTAATACAAATAAATCTTTCTTATAATTTTTCCCAAATAAAGACAATTTAAAATTTGTCAGTACTTTGAGTTTATTGCCACATCACCTCTATATTACTGTGTATTTGATTCTAATTCATATATCTTTAATGGGTATACTCACTCAACTAGCACACTTTTTGAACACTGAAAAGCAGTATAAATAGGAATTAAGTTGAAAAAAGTTAAATTGAGAATCAGAAAATAAACTTAAAAGATTTACATCCTCAAGTTAATTTAAGCCTGAGAAAATTCTGAGATTCATGTCTTATTCATCTATTTTTATCAGAAAACAATTTTCAAGTTCTTTATGTCAGCCCAAAAGATTTCAAAAAGCATTTACTAGATTTTCTAACATAAAACTACCTTTTTCAGTTCATACTCTCCATTAACAATTTTAGAAAAATGTGCAACTTAGAAAAAATATAAAAATTAGACAATGTGTACCACCACAGTGTCAGAATTGATACTGAGAGCTCCCAAGCTCCACACGGTTTATGTAATTAGGAAAACTATGGAAACCAGAAACAGTAAAGCAAAGAAAGCAGTATTCACAAGCAGGGTTTATAAGAGACTCCGAATCTGCTCTGAACTTGTTGAATAATCTGTTCAAGATCCCAGCATCTCCCTGCTGGAAGCAGGTCCTCATTATAACCACAAGAGCACTAATAAAGGTTAGCCTCTGAACTAGGGATTAGCAGGCTCTTTCTTTTGGGAAGCTTCACACTAGTAACTTTGATGATCTTGAAAAGGAAGACAAAGCACACTCCAAGAACAAACAATGTTTCCACTAAGTAGGAAGGGACAGAAAACATAAGAAAATGATAGTCTAAATACTTGGAAAGGAAGTATATAGCAGCCTCTATGTTATGCTGAAAAATAAAATGTATTAAACATAATTAAGGAATTCTCTCTTAAAGGGGACAGATGGGTTGGTCTAAGAAATCCCTTGACTTTTCCACATCAACCATAGATTTTACCCTGGGAATGGATTACTTCATATTAAATTTTAGAGGGTATTCATAATATCCACATCAAGGAAGAGCTCAGTCAAGACTTTGTTTAGTTGGTTGGTTTTGATTTATTTTGTTTTCTTGTTGTTTGTTTAAAACAAACCTGTTGCCCTGATTGCATCCATCTCACTTGGTACCAGGCTGGCCTCAAGCTTGCTCTGATCCTCCTGCCTCTTACTCCCGAGCACTGGTATTACAGGTGTGAGCCACCACACCTGACTTCTTAACCAATGGTTTTCTTCTACTATGTAAAGCTACTCTTTTCTCCTTTTCTGAAGTAAAACTTCATCTTGTTATGTAAATACATACAAGAACTTAGGACAATTACTTAGAAAGGTCAATGGATATGCTTTAGCCTTTAAAAAAAGTACAAATCTATATGTTAACAGGATAAAGTCCAGGATATTATTTCCCATGTCCTTCCAAACTATGTACTTCCCCTTCTTCAAACTGCTACCCAGAAATACTGCCTCATTCAAGGTTATCTTATGGCTGTTCAGTGCTGATGTGCAAAACTATACTCGAGCATTCCTCATATGCAGGAGGTCTTTACTTGAGGTATTCTACCTAGTATCTCCTATTAACTTGATAGTGAAAACATCTTTGCCATTCAGTACTTTCATTAAGCAAGCACTCAACATTTCATAGTAAAGTGAATTAAAAATATATCAGCCTTTGAATGTATTAATATACATACAGTGATCATCAACTCGGGTCATTTCTACCACTGATAAAAAGTTATATGAATAGTTACCTTCTATACATTTTCTTAAATATCAGATGATGCATTTCAGGTAAATTGAAAATTAATCTAACACTTTCAGTGGGTTCACATTCCAGTCATGTCACATGTGACTAGATAGAAAAAGTAATGCCTGGAGAGAACACAACTGCTTACAAAGAAATGCCTATACACCCTGCAAGCTGCAAGATTTCAGTGGGTTTGGCTCCTTGTCTCCGGTTGTATACTTCAGGTAAATTGACAATCTAATAATTGGAGCTAACCTTGAACACATGAGTAAAAAGAGCACATAACTCATGGCTGCCCTTCATGCTGTTGACAGCCTTTATTCTCCCCTTTTCTCAGATTAGTATATTCTTCTCCTCCAATGGTCATAACGAATGTTAATTATTTAAATATAATTGTCTCCTCTCTGCAACCTACAGCATTTTTGGACTTTTATTTTCACCTTAAAGATTTGTATTCATCCTTACCCTCTCCCTTCCCACTTCCTTCCTCCAGTAAATCCCATGGTATTGTGTTTTGTCAGCTTTATTTTATATTTACTTGGCAAGTAATAGCTCTATATTTTTATGGGATAAAATATGATATACAACATGGAATAGATAAATAAGGCTAATTAGTATATTAGGTCATAGTGTCTTTTAGTTTGGAAGAAGCAGTGTTTCATGACTACTACTGAATCAACACACAGTACTTCAGTTATACTGTGGATAGTCATTTAGTTAAGTTTTAGGGCCATGAGTGCAGGTACACAAAATCACTCAGAACTGTAAACTTTTACAATCTACTACAAATTTGAGAAATAAGCATAACTATAACAAGATTTTCAAAACACACATAAACCATGCATAATTATTTAAGTTTTCTTTGTAATATTTTTTAAATTAAGGAGAAAATAAACATTACTTTAAAAATCATGAGATGTGGCAACAAAGCTTTCATTAACTAGCCAGAAGGTCAGAGGTGGGTATTTCTAAAAGTCCTTGGAAATCTCTCACGAAGTTTACTCTATCCTGTCATAAGTCATGCTTTTATAGGGAAAAGCACACAATAAAAAGTTAAAAACAGGGGCTGAAGAGATGGCTCAGCAGTTAAGAGCACCAGTTGCTCTTGCAAAGGATCCGGGTTCGATTCCCAGCACCTGCATGGCAGCTAACAACTGTTCAGAATGCCAGTTCCAGGAGGTCCAACGCCCTCTTCTGACCTCTGCGGGCATTGCATGACATGGGGCACCTACTTACATGCAGGCAATAAACTCACACACATAACATAAAAATAATAAATACAATTTAAAAAACAGAGCAGCAATACTGGATTAAGTTCAAAATAGCTGTTTGAAATAGGAAAGGTAATTCTCTCTATGGCCTCCAAACACAATGGATTCAAATGCTAAATCTAAAAACCACCTTCACAGCCTTGAATAGGATCTTACAGTAAAACCATCTCATTACTGATAAAAACCTTGAGTAGTCTTGGGTACCACGAGAGCAGTTCACAACAAGGAGCCAAAAATCCCTTAAAGAGAAACCACAAAGATAATGGAAATTATCAGTGAGTTACAGACTGGAATGGTCTGTCAAGACCTATACCTGGGGAATATGCATCTCTCTCCTCAAGCAACATTTTACATTACTAGAAGCTCTCTGAACGCTGCACTGAATTCTATGAAATTTATTAGTTTATTCTCAAAAAGCATAGGAAATAACC